AACTATTGAGCTCATGGGCATAAAGGACAGACACAAAGTATACTTGGCTGACAATGAAGACCAATGCATACTAGGGTTGGACTACTTACTACCAAGGAAGTATGTAATTAATTTAGATAAAATGACGTTTTGGAACAACAAAGGCCAAATTCCAGTAAGTGTTAAAAGAGAGGTTGAACTAACCAGGTGTCATCAAGCTGAAGTCAAAGTGACTGAAGGAGTTGATGATGGTGAAGTGGGACTAGGTATAGATATTAAAGCAGAGCAGGAGAAAGATCGAGATTTGAAGCCAGTAATTGATTCTCTAAAAGCAAGTGTTTTGCGCCCTGCTTGGGAGAAGGTGACTAGCTTAAGCCCTGTGACAAAGAACTATTTGGTACAATGGGAGCAGTTGAAGTTTGAAGATGGTATTCTTCTCCAGAGATGGGAAACTGCAAATGGGAAAGTGACGACCTGGCAAACAGTTATACCGAGAAAGTTACGGGAAGTTGTGCTGCGTCAATTCCATGATAGTTTAACAGGAGGACATCTTGGAGTTAAGAAGACATTGAGTCACCCACGACAGAGATTTTACTGTATATGTATGAGGCAAGATGTGGAAGAATGGTGCAGGACATGCAATACATGTTGTGCTAAAAGGGGATCCAAGCATCAAGGACGTGCTCCAATGAAGTTATATCAAGTTGGCACACCAATGGAAAGAGTAGCCATTGACATTGCTGATCCTTTGCCCCAAACTCGTGCTGGAAATAGGTATATTTGTGTGGTGATGGATTATTTCACCAAGTGGCCTGAGGCATATGCAATACCTAATCAGGAAGCTACAACTGTAGCTCCAGCTATTAGAGATTTCTTCTTCAGGTTTGGTATGCCATATGAACTGCATTCTGATCACAGCCGTAACTTTGAATGAGCTGTGTTCCATGAATGTTGCAAGTTGTTTGGCATACAAAAGACCAGGACAATGCCACTTCACCCACAGTCTGATGGGATGGTAGAAAAGTACAACTGGACACTGAGACAGGAATTGGCAAAGTTTTGTAATAGTCGCCAAGATGACTGGGATGTCTTACTCCCTCCGCTGTTGATGACCTATAGAACAGCAGAGTATGAAGCCACTGGATACATTCCAGCAAAGCTAATGTTTGGTCGGGAACTTCTGTTGCCAGTGGACCTGATAACAGGATGCCCACCTTACGAAGAGTTGCCTGAAAATGTGCCAGAGTTCGTGAAAGTGTTATCTGAAAGGATGGACGATATTCACTGTCAAGTGCATTCAAACTTGAAAACGTCTACTGATTCCATGAAGCCATGTTATGATGAGAGATCTACTGAAGTCAGCTTTATACCAAGAGAAAAGGTGTGGTTGTATAATCCCAGGAAGACCAAAGGGAAGTCTCCTAAGTTGTCTTCTCGATGGGAAGGCCCATATGACATAGTGGTTCGTCTCTCAGACGTGACTTTCCGAATAAAATGTGGTCGGTGAGGTAAGCCAAAGGTGGTGCATGCCAACAGGCTTTGGCCATATCACGGTCCGGAACATTTCAGTTGGAACAAAGTGAACAATGGAACAAATGATGCTGCTAAAGACGTGTCACCTGAAAATGCCACTGTCGAAGGAAGAAACTCTACCCAGTTTTGAGAAGGAAAACAGTGAAGCCGTTAATGAAATTACTACCACTGATGTGACTGTTACCGATAATGGGAAATTTCCTGATGGAGCAGATGAGCCCCATGTGAAGCAGAAGCCAACTAAGATGGAGACCAGTATGGAAGAAGGTACGTCCTGTAAAATTAAGAGACTTTGTTGCATTTTAATTTTGTGTTTGTAAATTCTGTACATTAAATTAAGTTATTCTTAATTATCTATTGGTTTAATGCAAGTGGCTATTAATCGGGACGAACAATACTAAGGAAGGGGCAGTGTCACAACAGCGGAAGTCACGCGACGCTGGGAGCACGAGAGCTGGACTTTCTAGAAGGATCATGAATTATTAAGGAATTCTGTGAATGTCCTAGTGTTTACCAGGTACCCTATTTTTTAGTATATAAGCCTGGCAAGAAAAACAAGTGCAAAGTCAGAGATAGATAATTAAGTCAAGCGAATAATAGGCACCGTAAATAAAATGTGTGAATCACTGTGAATTATAGAGTGTGTTTATAAAAGTAGTTAAGTTAAAGTGTCTGTGCAAATTCTATGTATTACTAAAAGTTGTATCAAGAAAGAATAAACTAATTTCAATCAAGACAAGACTTGTATCGCTGAAGTTCTTCGGAAATAATTTCTACCGAAAATTAACAAACAAGCAGATACGTAACAATATTAATATGCAGCAGTTCGTTTGTTTGTTTTGAGAGCAAAACCACATTGGACTATCTGCTGTGTCCATCACAGGGAATTGAACCCTGGATTTTAGTGTTATAAGTCCTCAAACATACTGCTGTCCCACCAGGATATAATTGACAGTAGTCAATTTGAAAATCATTAGTACCTGGTATTTGCTAGAATAAATTTTGTATAGCACATGTAGGTCTACTTTTTAGCATAAACAGTTCTTAACTCAACTTTAATGATGTGGTAAGGAATTGTACTTGAAATAAGGTTTTTCCTATTTAACTCAATAATTTCCTTATTTCTCTTCTGATCTGCTTAAGAGTAGTTTTTAAGCAGAAATGTAAATTCATTATGCTCATTATGAAACTTTAACCATATGCTAAGTACCTACCATATGCTACTTCCAACTCAACTTCCATCTGGTTGGATTCCTTTGTTTCTTTTTGTGGAAATTCCAATTTAAATTCCTTCAACTCCTCTTTGTGTGCAGTAAACTCTTCTTTAGGAACTACACTTCTGAAAGTTTCTGAACATTTCTGAAACTCTGACAATGAATAATCACCCAGGATCACTCTGCATGGCTCTATCTTCATGGGGGAAACAAGTTTTAAAATGAGAAGAAAGTGTCCAGTACACTTTACAAATGAACAGAGACACTAAAAAAAACTATTTAATTAATCATAAGAAAACATTTCTCCTGTATTTTATATACTCAAGTTAATTTTATTTTACTCATTATTCACCATGCAGTAAAGTTTAATGATCAGTAGATTGGTTCCCGATTCAAATACATTACATTTACGTGAACAATAAGTTTTTAAGTGGAAGGAATGTAAACATATCCAGTCATTGAATTATTGAATATTCAAACAAGACAACCAGATAGTTAAAACTGTACTTAGTAGGTACTGTTCAAGGTTAGGCCAAACTCTGCATCATAGTAATTTGCAAAATTACAGTGTAAATTTAAACCTAATGGCATGAATTTTTAAATGTAAATAGTATGTGTAAAACATGGAATATTATTACACTGTCAAATTAGTGAGTGGCAGAATTTTACAAAAATCATACCTAATGTTTCTTATTTTTCATATCACTGAGTCCATAGCCACTGCATGAAATTGTCATTTTACAGTGAACACAACAAGTATTTTAATTTTTATAAATGTTCATTTTCTAAATTAAATTTTACTTAAGAATCTTCTCATTAGACTGTACTTTGCTTTCAAAAATAACTGAAGTTTACAGCTCAGTAATAAAACACATTCTCTGACTGTAAATTTTCAACTTTTATAACAGAAACTTGTATAGAGAGAACACATATATGAAAAACATGTACTATATACTTTCACAACAAGTTCCATGGATTTTTAGTCTGTTTTTATATAAGAATCTTGTATTACACATACAAGTACCATATATACAACATGGGGTAATGACTATAGAGTTGCTTCATTTAAACAATTTAATTCCTAATGTCTTACTCTGAAACAATCAATAATTAAGTTGATTTCAACTATAATCACAACATTTTCTTTAGTCCTAGATGTGTTTTCCCTACCCTGTGTATATATATATATATATAGGTTGCTTCCATACGTGAATATACAATACAAATATATAAGAATCACATATACGTACTACAGGCTCAACAGTATATCTACCCTATAAGCTACAAATATATCATGTACATGAAATAAGCCTATTTCACATATAAATTACATATAGCTTAGAACTTTTTTTTTATATGTTACAGACATGTTTGTTCCATATGAGAATGACTAAAAACAAGCAAAATGAAGAAATGTAGTAAGATGTTTTAATTAATAAAAAACAATTATGCTTAAGTATCAATCTTATAAAAGTTGCGTAATTCAAAATAAACCAACAGAACTACAAATCAAAATAAATAATCATGCAAAAGTACGAATTTATCTGTAAAGTTCAGTATTTGTTTGGATAATACTGACCTTAATCTATTGGGGCCTTTAACAACTGAATCAAATTAACATATAGCTTTACAAAAAAATTCCCATAAATGTATTTAATATAAGTTTCTACTTATCAAAATTTTTGTAACTTTTGTTGTGAAACAATGTATTTAAAAAAAAAATAATGAACATTACTTCCTTGCATCTTTGACTTTAATGTTTTATTATTTTGTGTCTAAAACCGTGCAAGTATACCTAATATTTTTTGTTGCAATAAAACTGCAAATTTCCTGTTTTTATTCCAATAAAACTATATGGAATCTATGGAAATTTACACATGATCACTAAAATACACAGTGAGAACAGCCATAAAAAAACAAAATATTGCTAAGTAAAGTTATAATTTTCCTATACTGAAAATCAATATCCGATAAGTACTTACGTCTACTCACATAAATAGCTATACTCCTTCAGTGCTGCCCTCTATATGCAAAAATTTTTTCTGCTCATGCAACGATCCTCCACCAATAAGAGTGCGACATACTCTCTTGATGCATGTGACTCCTTCTATTCAATTCTACCTACCTATCACTTCAAAGTGTGAGAAGAGGTAATACAATTGGAAATACACTTTCTGTATAGGAAAATTATAATATCCGATGCAGTACATTATCTCCTCTCACACAAATAGCTAGAATCCCACATTGAATAGGTGGAGGGACTAGTGCAAGGGAAAGAAAGAAGTACACTTTGAAAGTGTCTGAAGAACACTCCCAAAGAAGAGATCTTCAGAATCAAAAATTATACGTGGGGGATCGCACCACTTCTGTTCCAGGTATACTCTTCGCCCAGTGTTTGAAAAAATGTGTCGCCGACATGGGAAAAAATAAGGGAGAGAACTATGGTTGGATAGGGATCTGAATCACACAATATACGAATCTCAATCCTATAATACATAAATGTGGGTGTGAGTAAAAGGATGTGACTCCAGGTATAGAATGGCTAGGGCACTTGTTCATGGCAAGTCAACTACATCTAAAACCCAGGCCATAGAGAACTGACATCCATGCAGGGGTAGGAAAGAGGATCATACCAGTGGCAAGTCAACTACAATCCAAAATCCAGCACTCTGGTGAGGGTAGGAAGAGGATCATACTGTCTTCACTTTAAATTTATGAGACTGGAAAGAAATCCCGTACTCCCCCACCCCATGAACAAGAAACATGATAACAATGATTGATCAGGTCGGGAACCAAACTTCCAGCATTGAAAAGTTGTCTGTGTGATGTAAACCATCTTATTCAAAATTAAAATCACAGAAACCACCGCAAGCACAGTAACATCCTTGGAATAATAAGAACATTGAGGGATAGCGAGAGGGGAAGAACCATAGTAATCTGCAAGTACCTCCATTGTGACCCACAACACGGATGGAGCAACAAGAGTATAAACGAGTGAGGGAATAGAGACATCTGTAATACACATGTGAGGACTTATGTTGATTGGTTCAGCTATAAATCCAAAACCCAGCCACTGGGAACCAACATCCATGTGGGGGTAGGATCACAATTGAAGGGGTGAACTAAAATTTTGACGGCTCACTCCAATGTTACGTAGTGGAGGACATCTTGTCATCTACACCAGCAGAACACCACCTCCCTATTCTCAACTGAATGGCTTTATTATCATTTATGTATATTTAGTGTGTGTGTGTGTGTGTGTGTAGTAATCGTATTTCATTAACACATTCAGGTGGATGCCTCCATGGTCCCCCCACTCCAATAGCTTGGAACTGGAAAGTGATAAGGACTCCCAAACTCCACTAGAAGAAAAGAGGGGAAAAAGCACGGTGGAGAGTCCAGAAAAACGACAAAACCCAAGACAGTGCAATAGGTGACTACAAAACCTTATTTTGAAAAGCAGGCCATACTGATTTACTCAATCTAAGGAATGGCAGAGATGGGCAGCTATCCCTTTCTGCTTTACTTATGTAGTCCATGAGTGAGTATGATCCAGGACAGGCATATTAATGAAGCAAATATATTGCGAGGATAATCCTACAAGCAATCTTGTGGAACACGACATCTCAGCAGTGTGCATTTGGTGGCCATGTAATTATAATTGTTAAGTCATCATGGCCTTACAGAGCAACTTTGACTAATTTAAGCACACCTGGATAAGCACCACTCACCACAGAATGGGATCCATAAACAAAAAGAGGGACATTCCCCTGAAAAATAAGAGGTATATATACACCTGGAAAAAAGTTAAGCACCCCCGTGTTTTTTTCAAGTGATTCAGATTCGACATTCTTGTGACTGATTATAAATTACCATTCAATCTAAATGTGTTTATCAAATGAAATTATGCATTATTGGGCACAAGAAAACAAGATTATCACCGTAAAATAACAATTTTGAATTTACATATCATGATATCAAAATATGGACAGTTTTCACGCTTAAAATTATCTTTAATAAGTATTGTCAGTGAAAGCTAAAAAACTTTTTTGAATTGTAAAATCACATTGCAAAATGTCAATCATGACCCACACATTGACAATTAGTCATCGAAAAGTCAATATTTTGAATTTACATATCATGATAT